AGTGTTTCTGGTGTGGTTTTGGTTTGGCGATTCAGAAGAAAATTTACATGGTGTAAAGATTTAGACCTGACCCTACCTACAGAAGCAGATTTCATCCCTAACGAGTCTGTGACTAAAAGTTCAGTTCATGTACACAAAAAAAAATGCTCAAAATAGGATCAGATATGTTACCTAGGTATGGCAGGATCTATTCCTTTTTCATGAATGGCACAACAAAATGGTGTATGAAATGTTTAAGAGAAGAAAGGGCAAAAGAAAAAGGTGATGTGTTGGATCCTGAGCTAGGATGGATTAGCCCAACCATAGGGATTCCAACTTTGCTCTAAATGTAGCCTGAAATATTTAGACATACATAGTAAAGAAATTCAAAACTGGACTAACTCAAGTTAATGTCACCCTCAGAATGATGTCAGTTCTTCTCCATAAAAAGAAAACAAGCAATGCAACATAAATCAGAGAAAAGATTGGCATGTTGCAGGCCTGAGGTCTGCAATTGCTGATCTGCTAGTTATGGGGCATGCTGGAGTAGCCCGTCAAAGCAGAAAAGGCCAAACTGAAATTGTGGCTTTAAGGCAAGAAAGTGTTACAACAGAGACAGACTGCAAAATAACATGTGAGACATCATAATTTCTGTGAAAACGTAGTTCAAACAGCAGTCACAGACCCATTCAGCATGCGGTCAGGGGGAATCCTAGGACACTCCTGAGACTGACCTGAGCAGGGGCTGAAATGGGAAAAAAGTAAAATAGATTAGGAGGCCACATTGACCTTAGCAAAAATGAAACCAGAAACAGAGGATTTTTATGCTCTAATAAACTAAGAATGAATGGGTTTGCTGGTGAGGTTTTCAAATTGCATACGGACTTACTGGCTTCATTTTTACAGTCAGCTTGCTTTTAGTGGAAAGTTGCCTGCTGTTGCTATATACTCCTGCTAGTAGAGAGCTGGAAGCCCAATGAAGATCTGACAGACTTTCCTTTGATTATCAGGCTAACGGTGATTTCACCAGCAGGTGAAGTGTCAGATTTGCCAAGACACTTGGAGAAAAACACAGAGGCACAATACTTCTTCAAGAGCAAACATGAAATAAAATGCTGATGACTCTGTTAACTGCTTCTGTATAAGCTTTTTGGCTAGCAGCAAATTATTTTCAAACATGTTGGTAATAAAGAACTCAGTGGCATCGAATGAGATGCTGATCTAACAACAGGTTCTACTCATTCTGATTTCTCAAAATTTAGTTAGACAGCTAGAGAAATTTGTGCTATTTGTATTGATTATTTTGGCCTTTGATTCTCCAGCAGCAGCTGTAGGATGTAATCCCCAAGTCAAGCATAGCTAAAATGGGATTCCTCTGCCCTGGTTTAGGTCTCCAGAAGTTAGACCCCTCAGTCTGAGCTGCTCACCCAAGGCTCCCTTGAGGGCCAGTGCAGGGAAGCAGGCACCTGCAGAGGGCGATTCGTTGCCTAAGACAGCGCGGAGGATTTGCCTTTGGCAGGTCTCTGTTTCTTTCTGAGGTAGGTTAGATGAATCGGCACCTTAGCATGAAAGAAAGTGAACTCTGCGGTATGGCAGTGACATATATGATTTTTTGACCACTTTCCTCAGGTGTTAAGTGCTATGTGCACCTGTCTTGGGGACCTGAAGACTCTTCCCAGTCAATCTTGCATAGTATAACCATGCCAATAAAAGGAAAGCTGAGTGTACGTGAGAATGGGGAGTAATGGCTGGAGAGGATGAATGACTGAACGGGACACCTGAAAACAGGCAATGAGTTGGTTGCTGTCAGAGCTGAGCAGAAGTTAGATTTCCACTGCAGAGCAGTGGGGTACTAGGGGTCCAAGGAGTTCTGCTGTGGTAGAAAAAGTGGAATAAAAAACTTATGGAGTGATTTAATACTTCATAGCCTAAGGCTACACAAGAAAGAAAAGAAGTCTGTTGCAGATGAAGGGTTTTTGGACAGTCAGATGGAACTGTGGAGAGTGCAAGCTGTGTGAGTGAACTGAAGTTTGAATGAGACATGGTATTCCCTAAATGAAACTCTTCTGGAATACAGGAACAGCTCTTTTCTTTGAGAAAATACAGTGTGGAAATACAGAAGAACAATTTCATTTGTGTTCATATCGTAGAAGAGACACAGAAACTTACAGACCTCTGCAATGGAGATGTATATTTTGAGCTGTGCCTTGAGATGACCCAGAATGCTCACACAGAGAAGAGGTTCAAGGATGTGTTGAATAGCAGCAGCTTCAGAGGAGAGAGACGTGGATGCCATTGGGCTGTGGAAGGGGACACGGCTAAGTCAGGCACCTACCAAACCTCTGTGCTCTGAGAGGAAATGCTTGCCTGCTGTGGCAGGGGACGATGCCATCTATATGGTACAAAAGACCTGGTGACAGGTGGCTTAAACCGTGACAGTTGATTTTCCATGTCAGAGCAAATTCCAACCGAAGCATCCTGCTTCTGGTTCCTCCCAACTGAAGCATATGGCCGTGTCTGTAAACCCAATCCAGAGATGACCATGGGGTGCGTGGGTGCTGTCTTGCGCCCTCAGAGGCTCCCTCACTGTGTGTCACTGAGAGTGCACTTCTCTGACAGGCAGCACTGGGGCTGGGGAGGGAGAGAAGAACCTCCATGGCAAGCCACCTCTGATGTTTATGGTCTCTACCATGCCCCTTCTCTCTAATCCTTCTATTCGGGGTAGTTTGTCCAACTTCAGTGCCAAGGACACTGCTTATTCCAAGCCTGTTCACGTTATTGAGGTGGAGCCGTTCTCACGCGGTAAAATGCCTGTGGGTGTGAAGCTGCTCTGCCCTCAGCGGCCTGGTTTTGCCTTTTGCTGCCCTGAGGACAGCAAGGCTCGGCACCGTCTGTGGTCTGACCTGTTTCTCCACACTGTTTCCCCACTGAGCAGTTCAATCCATCGTGGAGCTCATGACTCTGTTACTTGGCTTTGAGGTGCTGTGGGAATTTCAGGGAGCTCTGTTTCAAAAAGGTAGTTTGACCAGAGCAAACAGAGAAAAGGAATAATCCTTAAGTGGCTGATCTCCGTGAGGAATTAACAGACCTGGTTTGATATGATTCGTATTTTGTGCAAGCATGCCAAAACAAGTGGTACCTTTCCCCACAGGCTACAGTCTAGTTAAGCAAATGAAAGAGGTTTAATAGATAAAATGATTTAGCTGCAGCTAGATCAGAATGAGGGAGTCCAGCCAGGAGCAGAAGGTGAGAGGGTCAGAGGCAGGACGGGAGACAAGCTACACCACCTGCCTGCGGGCAGCAGAAAACCATGGTGGCTGTTTTGGCAATGTGTTCTCGGCTCCCAAGGAAATGGGTTTAGATCAGCTGTCGCTTCGCTGAAGTTATAGGAGGCAAGTATTAAACGGCTAGAGTTTCCATTCACTCCAGCCCGGGGCAGATGTGAAGCAGCACCCCATTCCTTCTCCCCGTGGGCCGTATCTCTAGGTCTCCACCTTGTCTCTTGCTGATGCAGGAAGGCACCCGGCGTGTCGCTAGGTCAGCGTATGTAAGAAGGGGGCACCCGGTGCAGGACTGGATTAAAAAAGATTCTGTTAACACGTCTCTACCCTGCTGGTTAGTTTCCCTGTCTAGACAGGTGGAGATACGTGGAACCTGCTACCCCAGTGTAGCCCCAGAGCAGATCCACTGGTCATGAATGGGCGCAGTTATCTATCTTGATGGTCAGGTAGGTGGGTGGGGAGGCAATGAGTCTGCACTGCTTATGCCAGAAGAGATGCCCCTAAACACGCAGCCTTGCAGTTGCATGGGTCTGGCTAGTTCTTCAGCACTCCATACATAATGTTCTGGAAAGGGCTTGATCTTCTCTGTTGCCCAGTGAATGCATCGTTGTGCGAGAGGCAAGCCACAGGCCTTGTACTAATTTAACATCTTAAGACTCACCAGTAACTGTCTTGAGTGGCCACAGGTCTCTTTTAGATATAGCTTCAGAAATTTAGAACTGTCAGGAAAGAGTCGGGGGTGCTATCTCCTATACCTGAACACTGATTCTGCATATTTGTCAGATATGGTAGAGGTCTGACATTACTAAGGAGTCCCCATGTAACTGACCCATGGGCCAGTAAGACATGGGTTGTTTAAGGGGTAAAAGAATAACTCCAAAAGCATTGAAGGTCAAAGAGGAATGACTCCCTTCTCCTTTTCTCCACTGAATTCCTTCCAGAAAAGAACTCAGGATATAGATGGCTCACTGCAAACCATCTTTTCTAAGAAAAGACTAGCATGACTCAATATCAGGACCCAACACTGGGGAAATTGTTAGATACTGGAGAGCCTATGTATATGAATTTTAACTGTATCGTTATTGGGATTTAGCAATAATTTAATAATTTGTGTTATATATGTTAGTATCATTTTAACTGGGTTAATATTTTTGCTGTATTGTAGTTACCCTGTTAAGGCACTACTGAGACTAACAATAAATTCTTTACTCTGTATATAAGGTATGTTCCTTTAAGTCTCTACAACTTTCACTGAGTGCAACACCCTGACAGCAGGTGTACAATGGCACGAGAGCCACTGATTCCACCTCTGCCAGTGGGATGAACACTAAGCCCTGCACTCTGAGAGATGACTGAATGCCTTTTCCTCCCTGACACGCAAGACTTCCTCTTAAAATTGAGCCATTGAAATGTAATAGCTTGTGGCTAGACCTAGTAATCTGAAGTCTACGTACTATCTAATTAAAAAAATTATTTGGCTTGTTCTTCTACAACTCCAGGCATGTTAGTGTTGTAAAGCAGTTTCATACCAATTCACATAAGCAGAAGAATATAGAAAGCCTTAATTGGAATTATGTCTTCAATGTACGTTCCCTAACATGTCTGTTGGGGTTATTGTGTGACTAGTAGCTATGCAAATTTTCCTCATTCCTGTCATGTTTTCCTGTCTCACCTTACTGCTGGGCTATATATTTACGCATCACTCGTGGATACACGTTTCTCCTGGTACTGTAGAACAGCATGGCTGGTATGTATCTCAATAGCTTGTATCTGTTAAACATTTCAAAATTAGATTCTAATCTAAAAAGTGTTTCCCTTGCTTTCTCTTTCAGTACTCTTCAACAAGAGGTATATCAGATGGAGTCCACTGCAGCCTGTGCCTCCCTCATTTGAGTTCACAACAAGCTATCATCTGTGTGAGCTATTGCTCGTTGGAGATGAAGCCTTCCCAGTGCTGGTGAGCACCAGTGGACAAGTGCTAATTGCAGCATCTTGTTATGAGAAGGGCCGGATGGTGGTTGTTTCCCATGAAGGAATCTTGAAGGACTCCAAGTTTTCCCAGTTCCTCAGAAATGCTGTGGAGTGGCTCAAGCCTTCCCCCGAGGCCCTGGTTGGGGTCCATCCTCGTTTGGATTCCCTCTGCCAATCACTGCTCGGGGGAGATGTCAAAGTCCAGGCTGGGGCAGAGCTCAGCCCCTCCCTGGGGGTGTACTGTATGGATGCCTATGACAGCACACGGGCAAAAGACCTGGTTGGCTTTGTGAAGCGGGGTGGAGGGCTGCTCGTTGGTGGCCAAGCCTGGCACTGGGCCAGTCGACATGGGAAGGAGAAGGTGCTGTTTGAATTCCCTGGGAACCAAGTGACCAGCGTGGCTGACGTGTACTTCACAGGCAGCGAGCGAGAGACTGGCACTTTCTCAGTGTCCAAAGAAATGCTGAGGATTCCTCTGATCACCCAGTGAGTATTTAAATACTTGTTTGCACTGTTGTCCTGGTTTTGGCTGGGACAGATAGAGTTAATTGTCCTCCCAGTAGCTGCTATGTTTTGGATTTAGTATAAGAAGAATGTTGGTAACACTGATGTTTTCAGTTGTTGCTGTGAAATCAAGGACTTTTTTCCAGTTTCCCATATTCAGCTAATGAGCTGCTGTGCAGGAGCTGGGAGGGAGCACAGCCAGTGAGGCCCTGGTTGGGATCCATCCTCGTTTGGATTCCCTCTGCCAGTTGCTGCTCGGGGCAGATGTCAAAGTCCAGGCTGGGGCAGACCTCAGCCCCTCCCTGGGGGTGTACTGTATGGACGCCTACGACAGCACACGGGCGAAAGACCTGGTTGGCTTTGTGAAGCGGGGTGGAGGGCTGCTCGTTGGCGGCCAAGCCTGGCACTGGGCCAGTCGACATGGGAAGGAGAAGGTGCTGTTTGAATTCCCTGGGAACCAAGTGACCAGCGTGGCTGACGTGTACTTCACAGGCAGCGAGCGAGAGACTGGCACTTTCTCAGTGTCCAAAGAAATGCTGAGGATTCCTCTGATCACCCAGTGAGTATTTAAATACTTGTTTGCACTGTTGTCCTGGTTTTGGCTGGGACAGATAGAGTTAATTGTCCTCCCAGTAGCTGCTGTGTTTTGGATTTAGTATAAGAAGAATGTTGGTAACACTGATGTTTTCAGTTGTTGCTGTGAAATCAAGGACTTTTTTCCAGTTTCCCATATTCAGCTAACGAGCTGGTGTGCAGGAGCACAGCCAGGCAGCCAGCCCAGGATGGCCAACACAAATATTGCGTAGCATGGACATCATGCTCAGTTTATGAATGGGGGCTGGCCCAGGTCGGGGGCAGGAATCTCTCTTCTTTCTCTTTTCAATGGGTTCTAATCCTCTCTTGTCTAGGAGTTTGGTCGTCTTTTTGAGCTTTGCGAAATTCACAAAATCCGTGATTTCTGGGTTTTGTGATCGCTGCTCGGGGACTGACTGCACATTTGTCATTGGGAGGTGAGAAGATTGTATTGTATATAGGTTGTTTTGCATATTCATTATTATCATTATTATTATCATTAGTAGTAGCATTAGTATTTCCTTTGTTAAAGGATTAAACTATCTCTACCTCAATCCACGAGTTTCCCCTTTTGTCCATTCTCCTCCCCATCCCACTGATGGTGAAGGGGAGGGGTGAGCGAGTGGCTGTCAGGTCCTAGTTGTCAGCTGCTGAGTTAAACCACCACAATGGTCTTTAGATTGTATACAGTGTATATTCTGCTTTGGGGTTTTCTGCTATTGGCCTGCTGGAACGAAAAAGATCTCTTCTCCCTGTCCCCCAAAAGAAATGACCATAAATAAAGATGGATGTGCAGAAATTGAAGGTGCTTCTACAGGTTGGTCACGTGCTCCACATTAAAATGTTCAACAGATGACTGTTTAGGAAGGAACTTTTGGTTGGTTCTGATCTGCAGTGCAGTGGCACATATAGCCTTTTTTTTCCACTATGTCAATAGTGCAGCTATGGGACCACTTCCTGAGGTATTTAAATCCTTCCTGATGCAGGACCTGGGGCACAAAAGATTACCTTTGTCTTTCCTGCTACTCTCCTGTGGCGTGGTGTAAACTTTAAGGCATTTGTGACAGAGTTCTTAGCTTTGTTATAGGGTGTCACTGCACATTAGTGTGTACTTCAAGGTCCCTGGGAAGCGTGGGGTAGATCCATGAGGCTTGGATATTGTCCACACAGGATCCATGATCTAGTTGTGCAAACCCCACTAGATTCTGTATTGTGTAGATGCCTGGTAGTGGAGGCAACTAGACTCAGTAGCATAGGTGATCTTTTCCTGCCGAGTGCTGCGACCAGAAGAGAAAAGAATAGAATAGAATAATTCCAGTTGCAAGGGATTGTCTAATGCAACTGCCTGACCACTTCTAGGCTCACCAAAAGTTGAAGCATGTTAAGGGCATTGTCCAAATGCCTCTTAAACACTGACAGGCTTGGGGCATCAACCACCTCTCCAGGAAGCCTGTTCCAGTGTATGACCACCCTCTCAGTAAAGAAATGCTTCCCAATGTCCAGCCTGAACCTCCCGTGGGGCAGCTTTGAACCATTCCCACGCATCCTGGCACTGGATCCCAGGGAGAAGAGCTCAGCACCCCACTCTCCATGTCCCTTTCTTGGGAAGCCACAGAGGGCAATGAGGCTGCCCCTCAGCCTCCTTTTCTCCAAACCGGACAGACCCAGAGCCCTCGACCACCCCTCACAGGCCATGGCTTCCAGCCCTTCCACCAGCTCTGTTGCCCTGCTCTGGAGGCATTCACAGACCTTCACAGCCTTCTGAAATGGTGGGACCCAGCCCTGCACCCAGCACTCGAGGGGAGGCCACACCAGGCTGTGTCCAGCAGGACAGTCCCCTCTGCTGGGGGCTGGCTGGGCTGTGTTTGATGCCCCCGGGGTGCGGTTTGCCCTCTGGGCTGCCCGGGCCCGCTGCTGGCCCCCGGGGGCTTTCCCCCCCCC